TGGGTTAATTTATTTCAAAACTGTTCTAAGAAAGTTCCTCAATAGGCTTCACTTTTCTTGTTTGATTGGCATAATGACATCTACCTTGAAGATATGTGGTGAGAATTTAATAAGCTGATGCACAGAAAGATCTTAGTTTAGGGGTGAACACATAATATATGTTCAGTAAGTGGTGGCCATTTGTAACCAAAAAAATGCCTACAAGCACTTTCTTTTTTTAAAAAAAATTATTTATTTATTTATTTATTTGGAAGTCAGAGTTAGAGAGAGAGAAGGAGAGACAGAGAGAGAGAAATCATCCATCCACTGTTTCACTCCCCAAATGGTCACAACGACCTGGGATGGGTCAGGCTGACGCCAGGAACCAGGAGCTTCTTCTGGATCTCACATGGGTGCTGGGACCCAAAAGGACTTGGACCATCTTCCACTACTTCCCTAGGTACGTTAGCTGGGAGCTGGATCAGAAGTGGAGCAGCCAGGACTCAAACTGCTACCCATTTGGGATGCTGGTGCTGCAGGTTATGGCTTAACCTGCTGTGCCACAGTGCTAGCCCCCTAAGAGCACTTTAAATGACCCATTGAGGAGAGAAATAGAAATATGTTAATTTGTGTTATTTGAATTGTAAAAGGACTTGACAAATGAACTCCTGACTTTCTACAGATTTATCATCCACAAAAAAAGTTTTATGGTAGATTGCCCTCTTACCTATGCTTTCTCATGTTTTCAGGCAGATCTTTTCACTCCATCACCTCCTCACTAACACTATTAGCTGAGTGTATGGCCAGAGAATATAAATCTGTATTATTATTACCTTAACTAAAATATAATTAGAAAATAAATCTTTGGAAGATGGCATGGTGGCATAGTGGGTTAAGCTGCAGCCTCCAAAGCTAGCATCCCTTATAGGCACCAGTTCAAGTCCTGGCTGCTCCAATTCTAATCCAGCTCATTGCTAATACACCTGGGAAAGCAGCAGAAGATGGCCCAAGTGTTTGAGTGCCTGCACCCATGTGGGAGACCTGGAAGAAACTCCTGTCTCCTGGCTTCTGCCTGACCCATCCCTGGCTGTTGAGCCATTTGAGGAGTGAACCATCAGATGGAAGATCTGTCTCTCTGTCTCTCCCTCTCTCTCTCTCTGTAACTCTGACTTTCAAATTAATAAATAAAATTTTTCAAAAAAATCTTCTGCAAGTTGTATAATACAGTCTGAATTCAAGTAGAAATGATTGTGAAATTATTGACTATTTTAGGTTTTGACACAATTTATTCCTTAGAAGAATCATGCACAGTCTCTTTACTGTAATCCAATTTCTAGAAAACATCTGCATTAACCACAGTAGAGAGCCACTCTTTGAAGACCTCTAGCCTCAGAGTCACATGGATAATGTTTATCTGTGGAATCCTAGATAATAAAAGATGTCTGCATTTTTTTTATTTTTTGACAGGCAGAGTGGACAGTGAGAGAGAGAGAGACAGAGAGAAAGGTCTTCCTTTGCCGTTGGTTCACCCTCCAATGGCCGCCGTGGCCAGCGCGCTGTGGCTGGCGCACCGCACTGATCCGAAGGCAGGAGCCAGGTGCTTCTCCTGGTCTCCCATGGGGTGCAGGGCCCAAGCACTTGGGCCATCCTCCACTGCACTCCCTGGCCACAGCAGAGAGCTGGCCTGGAAGAGGGGCAACCGGGACAGAATCCAGTTCCCCGACCGGGACTAGAACCCGGTGTGCCGGCGCCTCAAGGAGGAGGATTAGCCTAGTGAGTCACGGCGCCGGCCGAAAGATGTCTGCATTTAAGAACTCCTACTTTTATAGGAATCGAGAGGAAAAGGAAGTTGAGGCAAAGAAGAGTAAGCTAAGCTCCACTTAGAATTAAGTCAAATAATAAGCTAAGAATTTCAGTCTGGGTTTTGTTTCATTAGTGGGTCAAAACCAAAAGGGAAGCCCTGACATTTCTTATTGTTTGTCATTTCAATTCCTGGCTACCCTAAGTTTGATTGTAAGACTTGTAATATGGGAAACTCCTGGCAGCCGGTTAGAAAGAAGCTCAGTGTCTCAGGCCTCACCCCAGGCCTTCTGAATCAGAAGCTGCATTTTAACAAGATCTCCAGATGCTTACACACATATTAAAATGAGAAAAACACTTGTTTAAGATGGGAAGGAAAGGAGGTTATATCAGAACTTTAAGAGAATCCATTCCAGAAGAGAAGTGTAAGAGTAATGATGATTACTTGGTTTTCTGCACATATATTTCCTATTTAAGATACAGTATGCTGATATAGCTCTTGTTTAATTGCCTTTCAGTATAGGTTGTTTTCTTCACCAACTGTGTAAATTATCTTTATAATTCTCATGTATCACCTGGATATTGTTTATGTAGCTTGAGAGGCACTTAGACTCTGTAGAGTTTTGTTTTAATTAACATAATAAAAGCAGATAATTCAACAAGAGCAACCTTTTTTTCAATTTGGAAATCTTTCCGTAAACAATTTCCCTTAACAATTCCTACATAAATAAACAAAACAAAATAAACAATAACAAAAAGCCTTCATAGTATTCTATTCTGAAAGATTTAAAAAAATGTATTTCAACCTACACTTGCGTATTATATGCTGTAGCTATAATTTTTTTTATTTAAAAATGTAATTAAAGTTAAGCTGACATTAGCGTTTTGCCTGAAGTACCTCTTTATGACAGTAGATGGCTTCAATGCTTTGGGAACTTCACACATAATACACAAAGTAAAGTCATTTTTTTAGAGTCTACATTGATCAGTTTGGAAACTTAGAGCTTTTTTTAGGTTTTTAACTTTTATTTGAAAGAGTTAGAGAGAGGTAGAGACAGAGACAGAGATATTTCATCCATTCCAGACCGAAGCCAGGAGCCTAGAACTCCATCTGGGTCTCCCACATGGGTGACAAGGACCCAAGCATTTGGGCCATCTTCCACTGCTTTCCCAGGCCATTAGCAGGGAGTTGGATTGGAAGTGGAGCAGCTGAGATTTGAACTGGTGCTCATATGGAATGCTGATATTGGCAGGCAGTGGCTTAATCCTCTCTGCACCACAACTCTGGCCCTGAAACTTAAAACTTTTACCATTGGAAATCACACATATTATTTACTTTTTTTAATTTGAGAGTCAGAGTTACAGACAGAGAGAGGGACAGAGAGATCTTCCATCCATTGATTCACTCCCCAAATGCCTACAATGGCTGGAGCTGGACCCATCCAAAGCCAGGAGCCAGGAGCATCTTCCAGGTCCCTGGTGTGGGTTCAGGCACCCAAGCACTTGGCCCATCTTCCACTGCTTTCCCAGGCTACTAGCAAGGAAATTGGAAGGAGCAGCCAGGACTCAAGCCAGTGCCCGTATGGAATGCCAGCACCACAGGCAGAGGCTTAACCTACTGTGCCACGGTGCTGGCCCTAACACTATTTAAAGTTTCTTTCTTTGTTTTTATTTATTTAAAAGGCAGAGTGATAAAGAGATTGATTTTCTGTCTCCTGGTTCACTCCCCAAATACCTGCAACAACTGGGACTGGGCCAGGTAGAAGCCAGGAGCCAGTGATTTCATCCCGATCTCCCATGTGGGTGGCAGGGATGCAAGTACAGAGCCATCATCTGCTGCCTCCCACGCTATACATTAGCAAGAAGGTAGATTGGAATTAGAGGTAGGATTTGAACCCAGGCACTTCAATAAAGGATATAAGTCTTCCAAGCGCAGCTTACACCACTATACCACAATACCTATCCCATAGAAACTTTTTTTTTTTTTTGGACAGGCAGAGTTAGTGAGAGAGAGACACACAAAGAAAGGTCTTCATTCCGTTGGTTCACCCCCCCAAATGGCCACTAAGGCTGGTGCACTGTGCTGATCCGAAGCCAGGAGCTAGGTGCTTCCTCCTGGTCTCTGACCCAGGTGCAGGCGCCCAAGCACTTGGGCCATCCTCCACTGCCTTCCCGGGACACAGCAGAGAGCTGGACTGGAAGAGGAGCAACTAGGACAGAACCCAGCGCCCCAACCAGGAATAGAACCCGGGGTACCAGCAGGATTAGCCTAGTGAGCCACGGCGCCGGCCAGAAACATCTTTTTAAAGCTAAAATGATTTTACCAGAGTTTTAACAGTTTTATTTTTTAATCATTTTCCATTGTTATCAGACATATTTTTAAGCAAGGGAAAAAATCTAATGGTATAAGTGAAAAAACCTTAGAGATTCTAGTCTAGAACTTCAACTTAAGGGAAAACTGAGACTCTCTCCACCCCAAAATATATTACTTCCCATAGTTTCCCAGCAAATAATTGGTAGAACTAGAACTGGAATCCAAGTCGGTTCTCTGCTTTTTCTACTTTAGTTCTCTAGTGTTATATCTCAATGCTCACTTTCATAAATTTTTATCTTTTGATAAGAAATGCAAAATATATTTCATTCTACTTTCTTCTTCCTTCAATGTATTAGGAAATGCTTTGCTGGGGCCGGCGCTGTAGCGCAGTGGGTTAAAGCCCCAGCCTGCAGAACCAACATCCCATATGGGCGCTGGCTCAAGTCCCAGCTGCTCCTCTTCCAATCCAGCTCTCTGCTGTGGCCTGGGAAAGCAGTAGAAGATGGCCCTACTCCTTGAGCCCCTGCACCCATATGGGAAACCCGAAAGAAGCTCCTGGCTCCTGGCTTTGGATCAGCACAGATCTAACCATTGCAGCCATTTGGAGAGTTAACCAACGGAAGGAAGAGCTTTCTCTCTGTCTCTCCTTCTCACTGTCTGTAACTCTACCTCTCAAATAAAATAAATAAAATCTTTAAAAAAAAGTATTTTACTTACATGTATTTAGAATGTAGTTTTATATGGAAAGCAAAAATATAACCTCTTTTTACTTGAATATACTTTGATGATTAACCAACATTGTTGGTGTTTGTCTTTTGTTTTCATTTTCCTGACAGCTAGACTATGAAATAGATATTGCTCAAGGAAGGATTGTTATATTCTTGTTTTTTTTTTTTTTTAATTTCAGAAGCCAAGATCCAGACTTGAGACAAAAGAATTGGAAAAACACCTGATGGTCAAATCCAGTTTTTAGTCTATGGACTAAAGAGTCTCTAGATTTGTAGAAAAACAGAGAAGTCAGAGGAAAAGAAAAGAGCTCAAGTGTGGATACCTGAAAAAGTGTCTATGTCCAAGTTGCTTCTGGACTGATTCTGAATTTCAGGTAGGAAACAGGTTTAATGAACAATACAACACTCTTTTCTTGATGATCCAAGAGCAAAAGGAGTATCACTTTCTGTATTTAATGTGGGAATGTGGAAAAACCCAGAGTTCACCCTGTGCTAATAATGCAGGAACAATTTGGTAGAGATGGCAGTGTGGTATGTTAGACTTAACAGGGAGTGCTGAAATAGCCTCACAGGGAAACTTTGTGCCCAACATAACATGGGGGAAGAGCAGAATGATTTTTGCCATGAGCCAGAGGTTAGTAGAGACATGGTGCAGGGCCTTTAGTGCCCCATTCATTTTTCTCACTTTTTCAAAAGTCATAGAAGGTCGTGTCTAACACAAGGAGGACACAGATGTGAACCTTTTAGGCTGGCAACCAAGACCAGAACATATGCCTCAACTAGATGTGATGATGACAACAGTGAGGTGGAGGCAGAGGGGTAGGGGGAGAATGAGGGTAAGAGTAAGGTATCAGAGTTGGGCCATAATCCCAAAAGACACAGTCCTGGGTGCTGAAATTCAAGTGTTGGTATCCCAAAAGATCAAAATCCCTGAAATCTAAACCCTGAAAAATCATATAATGTAGCAAAAAATAATTTAAAAAATTATTTTAAAGACAATGACATTTTAAAAAGGCCTTTATTTGAGAAATATATAAAAAACAACAGAATGCTTTATAGTTCACTTTACACATGAAAAGGGCAATAATAGCATACTATTTTTGCTGGCATAAATGCTCAGGTATAGTAACAGCCATATGGGTATAACAATTATGAGCAGACAAACTGTGTTGGCAGAGAGATAAGTCAAAAAGTGAACTGTACAAATGCACTTCACTATGGTTGATAAGTGTGTGCACACAGCTCTACAACTGTGGTCATCTGAAATACCCTAACAAACAAACTGACTCTTCTGATGAGATCTGTCAGAAACTGGTGGGTTGCCACTGCATATGTAGTCACCTGAAGAGCAGAGATCTTGAGAAATTTTGTCTTTTACAAATTCAGATATCCAAAAAAGACACCACTTCACTTATTGACCTTTCAATGTTTTGATGTGCATGTATAATGCTAACATACAAAAGCAATGTCATGGCAATGCAATTTCACAAGGTAAAATTAAAAAAAAAAAAAGACGTATAATGAATTAGAACTCCCTAAAAGTCTTTATGCATTCTAGTTTTGGAAATGATATGATTAAATACATAGCATAGTGAATTGAAAAAAAATAATGCTGGCAATTTAAAATTTGGAGAGGGAACTTAAGAAACAAAAGAAAACAAAAAAAGAAAAAGTAAATGTGACTGTGAAAAAAGTATACTACAGGGATAGATTATAGACAATTGCACAAAGGTGCTCCGTTAAGAGCTAAACAGCTTTCACAGTCTTTAACTGTATTTTATTTTATTTAAAGATTTATTTATTTATTTGAAAGAGTTACAGAAAGGAAGAAGCAGAGAGAGAGGGTGAGGTTTTCCATCTGCTGGTTCACTCCCCCAGATAGCTGCAATGGTTGGAGCTGGCCGATCCTAAGCCAGGAACTAGGAGTTTCTTCTGGCTCTCCCACGCCGCGGCAGGGGCCCAAGAACTTGGGCCATCTTCTACTGCTTTCCCAGGTCATAGCAGAGAGCTGGATCAGAAGTGGAGCACCCAGGACTTGAACCGACACCCATATGGGTTGCTGGCACTGCTGGTGATAGCTTTACATGCTACATCACAGTGCTGGCCCCCATTTTAGTATTGTTAACTTATGACTTTGGGATTTAATGTGTGTGAGTTTGGAAATCAAATCATATTCAAACCATAGCACTTGAGTTTATGGATTTATATTTATACCTATGGTATTATTAATAATTATATATATTATGCAAAAATTTTGTTTCTTACTGTTATTAGTAGCAAATAATATCTTCCTCAAATTCAGCTTTACCTCTCAAAAACATTACAACATACTAATCTCAATTGGTATAAAAATTCAGGTTGATAGATACCTGAACATGTCTCCCCCTATTTTCCTAACTTACTATTATAACTACTACCAGCACTAGGTAACATTTACTGAAAGGTACTCTGTGCTAGAATTTGTTCCAAACCCTTTAGAAGACTTGTTTAGTTTAATCTTTCAATAATCATTTGAGGTAAATTTATTTATTATGTAAACTCATATATTCTATAGATGAGAAAGCTTAATAAATTGCCAAGGATTGCAAAACTTTGAGCCTTTGAGATTCAAGAGTCCTTAGAGTAGCCATTATGCTATTCTGCTTAGAAATGGATGAATTATTGACTACATCTTTAAAGTTAATCAAATCACCAATATCCATGTTTTTCCTAATCTTTCTTTGGAGATTTTCTGTTGGAAAACAGATGGCAAATTCAAGAGGACAACACACACTCTTGGCCAACACACATCCCCCAGTCTTGGCTTCAAGCTTAGCTATAGTTTCCAGAGAAACAAGACTGCCATGACCGTCTCCTGAAGTTGTCTTAGTGGGCTGAATGATTCCCCTTTGCAGGTCATTGTGAGCGTACATCGCTGCTTCCCATTTGGCCCACAAACCTCAGGTCCCTAATTTGCTCTTTTGTTTTCACACTTAGATTTCTATACTTAAGTTTGCTTTGATGACCTGCTTCTGGGTCCCTGAAGACGGTTTATCTTTTCTGGGTCAGTGACTTCATTCCGAAACTCAACATTCTGGAGGGAGGTGGGGAAGAACGCCCTATTTTCAACAATACTCCTAGTAGGAGCAATTTAGTTTTGTCTGCCAGTGCTGTGTTATACAGCTTCTCTGCATTTGGCAGTAAAAACTAAATAAGAAAGGGAAGAAATGCAGTCTTTTGTGACTTTCTGGGATCATGGGACTTCACTAAGTCCTACTTTGAAATTTATCATTACCCCTAACCCCATGATATTCAGTCCTTTCTGATTTATTTTACGCCTCTCCTCTGGGAGAATGATACTGTTTTGAAGAAAAGGTTGAATGTTGAACACAAATCTTTACTGAAACAATTTGATAACCATCTTATAAAAATATGACTGAATGAAGATACTCTTGAAGTTCTATTTTTATCCTTAAATTAAAGTTTAAAGAAATGAAAGGGATTAGCAGTTATTATTAGATTTTTATGTTAAAAATTATGAACTTTCAATATATAAATTTCAAGTTTTCCTCAATAGGCTTTATTGCTTCCTCTATCTTCATTTTCCTGTGCTGTCCATCATCCAACTGTTTCCTATCCTTTTGGGATTTTCCTTAATTTCTGTTTGCATTACAGTGTCATATTTCTTTTAAGTGATTTTAATTTCATTTTTAATATATAGTGAGAACACACTGTAATAAATTCATTTCACTACCTTCCACTTTCAAAATAACTTTATCTTTTGAAATTTTTATCTCCTAAAATAAGTCAAGCACTTTAGAGTCTACATACATACAAGAAATATTCTCTTTCCTCTTTGAATTGTCTATGTGTATAGAAAAAAGCTCCATATTACAAACATCTTTTGAATGTAGTTGTGCTTATTAAAACAGAATATCTAGTATAATAAATATTTCCCCACTTGAGTAGTTCCATTGACAAAATTATGTATAGTGATTTATGACTTTATGCACGCTTTTTAGTGAGAAGAAAGATTGTTTTCTTTTTCATAACAAAAATGGCTCTATTGAATTTTTTCTGATTATAAAAGTAGCACATGGTTATTTACAATACCTATGTTATTTTTTAAAAATTTAGTTCTCTCCAATAGACTAGATATACACATAGCAAAATAGATATAAAAAAACATACTATGGGTGAAAAATTTAAGAAACCAGATATGATACTATTTAAGTAAATTTAAAATACCTGTATAAGCAACAAAAGTACATTTTGCAGTTGTCTTAGGATTTTCCACAAGGACAGAGTAAATTAAAATGACAGCTAGGAATACATACACACAGTAGGAATACATCACAGTAGGAATACATACAAGCTAAAAGATTTACATAGAATGCATTAGAATAGTGATCAATGTATGCGAGTTTGGGGTAGGTGATTGGGAGATATTGCTGAGAAATGGATATAAAACAGAATAAAATAGTTGCAGATAACACAGAAATGTACAAATAACTTAATATCTTTAATCCCACTACTTGGTGATAATGACAGTATATTATGGCATATTTTAATCTTTATTTTTAATAAAAAGATCTAATTGTTATTTAATCAGTTTTAATCTTTATTTTTATTTAACACTGCAATATAAATATATCACTGTTCAAAATAATTTTTGCATGTCACACATGGCTTTCTTCCAGTTTTTTATTATAACCAATGTTGTAATGAGCATCCTTATTCTCATACAGTTTTATCTATTTGCCTTTTGCTAGAATGTACATATAAGTTATGAAACAAATAGTCAAATTATTCTTCAGAAATATACCCTTTTTACATTCCCACTATGAAATTTTCTGATTCCTAGAAGATTCTGAAAGTTAAAATGTTCATAAAAACAAACAAATGATGGGGCTGGTGCTGTGGCTCACTTTAATCCTCCGCCTGCGGCATCCCATATGGGCACCGGGTTCTAGTCCCGGTTGTTCCACTTCCAGTCCAGCTCTCTGCTGTGGCCCGGGAAGGCAGTGGAGGATGGCCCAAGTGCTTGAGCCCTGCACCCGCATGGGAGACCAGGAGGAAGCACCTGGCTCCTGGATTCGGATCAGCCCAGTGCCGGACGTAGTGGCCAATTGGGGAGTGAACCAACGGAAGGAAGACCTCTCTCTCTCTCTGCCTTTCTTCTCTCTGTGTAACTCTGACTCTCATAAAAAAGAAAAAAAAAAAAAAAGACCTCAACAAACAAAACTCCAGGCCATCCAAATGTGTACTCTTAGCAATCAAGTAAAATTAATCAGAGTCCACTGTTGTGTGGAATGGAAGACTATGAAACATACTGATATCAGTGTACAATGGACAATTTGGCACTGGCTTTTCCTGACCTAAACATAACAGAGAA